TTATTACACGACTCGGGCAGTCAGAGGGCCAATAACTAAAATCAACCAATCAAAATGCTCTATTGCCGGTCCAATATTCTCCAGTATTGGACCGGGCACTGCCCCGAATGGTCCCGAATGATACCACACTTGTGTCCCTTTGAACTTCAGTTGTATAATAAATCTCTAATTAACCAAGCTTGCTCGGGACCGTACTGGAAGAATATCGGCCCTCGTTCTTTTTTGTACAGACCTCGGGCCGATATTCTCCCAGTACGACCCTCGCGCTTGGTTAATAAGATATATGTAACAACATAAAGCTAAACTTCAGAATACCGGCCACTCATTTACATGTCATTAAATAAGAATAGCATCTATTGTGTTATGCCTCGTTCTTCGAAGCCTCTTGACACATGTAAATGAGGTGGACGGGTATTCCGAAGTTGCTCCCAACATAAAATTAAGACATAAACAATATATAGCTACCTGGAATTAGATAACATGCCCTGTTGTGGTAGTGCTTATGTGTGATCATGTTAAGATCATGAGAGAAATATTTTTCCATGTGATGGTAGTGTGATAACAAGACTGTATCCATGACCCAATCACTTTATTGTAACATGAGATTCATACTAAACTGTCACACAGACAGACATTGTTTTGAGATTTGTAGTCCCCTAATGCTTCAACATATGAGGAAAGTGTTTTTCAGACAGAGACTCTTAGTTACTCAGTCTGATAAACATATATCACTTCACAAAATCCATTTAGAACAATAAAAGGAAACAGTTTTTGCTCTTTTAAAAGTATCAATGAAGCTAAACCAGGTAGTTTGGTAAAGAAAGTAATATTACTCGCAGACTGAATCCTTTAATCTTAGATTTTCTATCTTGCAACTAATATCCATTAGATTATAGTCAAGAAATAACAAGACAAATAAGTATCTTACTCTTCTTGATTAAAGCTTGGTAAAAGTTAGCTTAATTTGGAGTTATTTTTCACCCAATATTCAGAGCTCTCAGCTTAACTTTCTCAAAGCTGCTGTGTGGTGAGCACTCATCAAAAATATAATTTGGGTTACTAGAAAAAGGACATTTTTCTAGTGACCAAACACGTGTCTTGCAACCTTTCCATTTCATTAGACAGATATTGCGGCAAAGAATGATGAAAAACTGGGCACGCATATTCTAATACAGGGCGAATACATGTTGTATGGAAAAGTAGCATATCCTCAGATGGAACTTAAGCACGCTTTAGCTGTTTTAGGAAGTACAGACGCTTCGCAGCCTTTTTGCATATAGATTCTACATTTGCTTGCCACTTGCCCTTCCTCTTCTGGTCGGTAGAGCTGACAAGAAACTCTGACCACAGGATTAAAACCATGCATCAACCCTTTTACTTCCAAGAACTCAATTAGTAATTCTCCTTTGTGTCTGCCATACAATTCTTATGATATTAGTTTGGAGAATTTAGCATTCGATCAACTACTAAACTGCCAGTTTATATTTTTCTTGATTCTCATTACTTGTCGGCTTGCTATTGTATTGACACTGTAAGGAGAAATTCTCTCTTGGTCACTCATGGTAGTTAAAGGGTTAAGAGAGGAGAGGAGCAGTTTAAATAACTTGATGTCAAAGCTGTTGTTTGATTTGGATTCATTCAGTGGTTTACAGTCTGGCCTTGAATTATTGCATTTCTTAACATACTGAAATGTATTTCTAAGCTCTCCATGTTAAGCGTTCTTAATTGTATTTTGTCACAAACCTGATTTGAAATCTTTTTGACAAAAACTTTGTTTTGTTTCAGGGCAAAAATTGAACAGACGTATGCTGAAAGCTTAACCAAGTTGGCAGCCAAGGCACAGAAAACGTCAAAGGATGCTTTGGGGTGAGAGGAAATTAATGTTGTGAACTATAAAGGCCCTGCCAAATGCACACAGCATTTCATGCATGGGTTTGGCCAGGCCTCAACTGTTAATTGAAACAAAAAGAAAACGTGAACACTTGAGAAGTATTTCTTAATTGTTACTTCAAATAAGTCCTATTGATAGGCTAGTTAGATGTTAGATATTGAAACAGCAATTATTGTAAACTAAGGTCAACTCGTAGTAATCCGTCTTGAGTAACAAGTCAGAAATTTGCTAGCCATAGTGTAGTCATATTTTTGCAATGCCAGCTCTTGAGTACCAAACTTTTATTAAACTGAAACAGCAGAGCTCTCCAATTGCTCTGATGAGGGGTTAACACTTGAAATATCAGCTTCAGAAACTATTTTTTGTGGCTAATTAATTAAAATTAATCAACTCAGTCGATAAAACCCAAGTTATCTTACAACACCCCCCATTGATGCAGCACCAATGATGGTTTCTTTTGCAGTAGAACCTTAAATTAACAAAGTGCCAAGTGACTAGGAAAATTGGTTGTTATATTGAGGTTCTGTGGTATACATTTTACTGTAACTTTGGCCGGGCTCAAACTGAAGTATTGTTTGTTATACCGAGGACTTTGTTATAGAAAGGTTTGTTAAATCAAGGTTCCACTGTATTAGAAACTTAATATGATTATGCCCTTTATTTACTTATCCAAAACTTGTTCATTCAATACCATGATGAAAATGAAAGTGAAACCACAGGTTAAGAATTGAATGAGAAGTTCATGTACTGTTTAAGGTCTACTCCAGGTACCTTATCTCAGTTTTTTGGAGGCTTACTTGTAATAGCTCTGTTGTACGTTACAGATCAGTTGCTCCAGGCTATGGATAACAAGAAAGTTTCCATCATGGTCTTATTAGATATGTCTAAAGCATTTGATAGTATTCGACATGACATCTTGTTATCCAAGCTACAAAATCTCGATTTTTCCCAGGGTGCGTTGAATTGGTTTCAGAGTTACCTTTCTAACCGACAACAGTGCGTTCGAATTGCTCTGATGAGGGGTTAACACTTGAAATATCAGCTTCAGAAACTATTTTTTGTGGCTAATTAATTAAAATTAATCAACTCAGTCGATAAAACCCAAGTTATCTTACAACACCCCCCATTGATGCAGCACCAATGATGGTTTCTTTTGCAGTAGAACCTTAAATTAACAAAGTGCCAAGTGACTAGGAAAATTGGTTGTTATATTGAGGTTCTGTGGTATACATTTTACTGTAACTTTGGCCGGGCTCAAACTGAAGTATTGTTTGTTATACCGAGGACTTTGTTATAGAAAGGTTTGTTAAATCAAGGTTCCACTATATTAGAAACTTAATATGATTATGCCCTTTATTTACTTATCCAAAACTTGTTCATTCAATACCATGATGAAAATACTTGATAATGTGCTAGTCAGATATCAACAACAAGAAGTTATGACATTTTCATTGGCTTTTAATTATTATGAAAGTGAAACCACAGGTTAAGAATTGAATGAGAAGTTAATGTACTGTTTAAGGTCTACTCCAGGTACTTTATCTCAGTTTTTTGGAGGCTTACTTGTAATTTCCTTTTCAGGACTCTCAAATCTTCATGGGAAAGTGCCCTCTTGGAATTGGAAAATGAAGCAGAAATACACAGGTAAATGTAAAGGTTTAATCGACACTCATATTAGAACTTTGTGAATTGTGCAGGAGTGAAAATATTCTGTTGGTTAAAGGGAATGTGATAATCCCATAATGATGTACAATTTTCATACATTTATGAACTTCTTACTCCTTTTCTCCTTATATTAAATATAAAATAAATACATTTAAGAACTTTAAAATGGAATTGTCATCTTTCTTTTGAATTGCAGTTGTATGGAGTACAGAAAAAAATAATTTTTTTAGCTGGTTGCTGCTGTTGCTAATGCATATGCTGCCCATTATAGGAATGCTTTTCTGTAGATTTTTGCTTATTCATCAGTACTACCGTACTAACAGCTTTCATCAGTACTACAGTACTAACAGTACCTATTTAGCACACTCTTCTCTCTCGAGCGAGCACAACTCTCAAGCAAGCATGAATACCTACTTAGTAGCGTACTAGCGTACTAACTTCAACTCTCGAGCGAGCATGAATTTCTACGTACTAGCGTACTAACTTCGACTCTCAAGCTAGCATGAATACCTACGTACTAGTGTACTAACTACAACTCTCGAGCGAGCATGAATACCTACATACTAGCAACTCTTGAGCTAGCATGAATACCTACGTACTAGCATACTAGCATACTAACTACAACTCTCGAGCAAGCATGAATACCTACATACTAGCGTACTAACTTCAACTCTCAAGCTAGCATGAATACCTACGTACTAGCGTACTAACTACAACTCTTGAGCGGGCATGAATACCTACGTACTAGCAACTCTCAAGCTAGCATGAATACCTACGTACTAGTGTACTAGCATACTAACTACAACTCTCGAGCGAGCATGAATACCTACCTACCAGCATACTAGTGTACTAACTTCAACTCTTGAGCTAGCATGAATACCTGTGTACTAGCGTACTAACTATAACTCTCGAGCGAGCATGAATACCCACGTACTAGCGTACTAACTTCAACTCTAGAGCTAGCATGAATACCTACGTACTAGCGTACTAACTACAACTCTCAAGTGAGCATGAATACCCACATACTAGCGTACTAACTTCAACTCTCGAGCTAGCATGAATAGCTATGTACTAGCGTACTAACTTCAACTCTCGAGCTGGCCTTAATACCTATGTACTAGCGTACTAGCATACTAACTACAACTCTCGAGCTGGCATGAATACCTATGTACTAGCGTACTAGTGTACTAACTACAACTCTCGAGCGAGCATGTATACCTATGTACTAGCGTACTAACTACAACTCGCTAGCGAGCACAAGCATACTAGCATACTAGCCAGTAACAACAACAACAACATCAACAACAACAACAACTTTATTTTGCACCCTGAATTAAATTAAATTTAAATTACAAAAAAGTAGTAATTAAAGCAAATAACATAAAGCTCATGGCTGCCCAAAATAACCACGAGGCTAAGAGCAGCTAGCTAGCTGTCCTTAGGATTTTAATTACTGTAATGACCAGTGGTGTCAGGTACTTAAGACTTAAAGTAACATATACAACAACAAAGAAACACACTGACAAAAACTAGTTAATTATAAGCTATAAATACAAATTAGCGAAAATATGCAGGAAAATAAAGTAGGTCTAGGCAGATTAACTAACGGAAGAAAGAAAATGTAGAGTGTAATAAGATCAGTTAGTAATTTGCAAGAATAAATCATTTAGCTTCTTCTTAAATTTTTTAAGTGATAGAAGCTTAATGTCATAACTGATTGCATTTCAAACTTTAGCGCCTTGAAATTTAATATTAAAAATACCGTTAGTACGTTAGTACTCGGTACGGACAACTCATCATGGCTTGTAGTTCATCTCTTTAGTACGCTAGTACGTTAGTACTCGCTATGGAAAACTCATCATGGCTTGTAGTTCATGTCTTTAGTACACTTATTACGTTAGTAGTTAGTACTTGGTACGGACAACTCATCACGGCTTGTAGTTGATGTCTTTAGTATGCTAGTACGTTAGTACTTGGTACGGACAACTTATCACAGCTTGCAGGTCATCTCTTTAGTACGTTAGTACTTGGTACGGACAAATCATCGCAGCTTTTAGTTCATGTCTTTAGTACTTGGTAAGGACAACTCATCACAACTTGTAGTTCATCTCTTTAGTACGTTAGTACTAGGTATGGACAACTCATCATGGCTTTGGAAGGTTTTAATTATTACTCAGCTGTAAGACCTATATATTTTATCTTCTTTTTAAACCGATTATTTCCTAAATTTATAATTCCTTTGCATAGGTGTTGATAAACAAATAAAGGAAGATAAAATTTGTACATTTATAATGGGCAAGAACAGCACAACTTAAACAAGTCTGGTAAAATCGGCTTAATTTTAATAGTACCTTAATCATCCATACTAAGCGAAAAAAAAAAAAGAAAAAACAATCCTATTTTGGGCATGGTCTATGCTAATGTGTCCAAATTTTTCAAAGACATTGTCAATACTAGTACCCAGGTTGAATATCTTAAAGGACTAGAGACTTAGTACCTGGTTTTGAAATGAAGGGCAAAAGACACTGACACTCTACTTGATTGTAGATTTGACTCCAAACCCTGTTAAAGGTTCAGTCACCTTTTGCTGGCAGCATTTAGAAATTTCTTTTTGAAATTATCCTAGTTTTGTTTCCCTTTTTTCAGATTATCCAATCATCTTTGAGTAATATGCATTTTTTCAGTCGCATAACCAGGTATTAAACTTATTATTTCTTCTCTTATTATTCAATTTGTATAATTTTTTACTTTTTCTGTTCATTTAGAACATTGGGAAATCAACTACATGATGAGGTTTCAAAACAGGTCAAGGCATTTGTGGAAACACAGTCAAAAGCAAGGAAAACGGTAGATATTTCCAGTGAACCATTCATGACAAGTAACCACTCTGTTAAGTATTTTAGGAAAGAAAAGATAAAATTGAAAAGATTGTTCTAATGTCTGATTTTGCTAATTTTCTCATCAGGTGGAGTCCCTGGTAGATAAAGCTTACAAGAATTTTATTGATAAACTAAATGATGCATTGAAGGTACACTGCTTTTTTTATTTTCTGTATCCCTGGCCAATCAGTCAATTTCTGTAACAGTCATTTCTAGATTTTTCTTGCTGGCTGGCTGACTGACTGACTGTCTGGCTGGCTGGCTGACTGACTGACTGGCTGACTGGCTGACTGACTGACTGACTCAGTAAATCATTGAAGGACCATCTGACTAACTATCTGAATGACTGATTTACTTACTGACTGATTAACTGACCCGTATCCACTGACCCGCATCCATTGACTGAACGACTCTGCTACCATTTGCAACTTACAGGGCTCAACACCAACAGTAGCCTGCTATAGCCACAGACTAGTAGAAATTCAGTTTTGGGTGGTGGTTTTCGACTTCTACTGCCAGTTTGCAGTTTGGCTAGTATCAATAAACTGAAATTGTCATAACATCTAAGATGTCACTATAGCCACTTGGCTTGTAAGTTGAAAAGTTAGTGTCAAGCCCTGACTTACCTTTCAAGGGGTTCAGTGTTGTAAACTAATGCTGAGATGCCAAAGAAAAGATGTATTTCACTAACCACAAACTTTGTTCTCTGTACTTGGTTGGTCTGCTCAAGACAGAATTAAGTTACCTTAAGGTGGCTGAACACAGTTTTCACACGCGCTTTTGTTGATGCAATTCAGCATGCACACAAGGACTGCAAAAAACAAACATGCGGTCAATAGAGCAGTCATTTTTAATTATTTACTCAACACGTACCTGTACCTGCACGATCTGTGCTATTTTTCTCTATAGTTGACACAGTGTATTGATGGCTTTTATCTTTTATGACAAAGATATGTTAGAAAAGGTAACAGTGCAAAGAACCCAGTAATTCTCAGTTTTTTTGTTGTTATGGACAGCCCATGCGTAGCAAGTAAAAAAATTGGGATTGAATGAAAAATTGCTTTCTCGGAAATGCGCCTATTTCTTAAAAACCACTCATTAGAATTTCACGAAATTTGACACGGAAATACTTTAGGAAATAAGTAACTGAAGTATTGGAAAAAAAATTGAACTTTAACAAAGGAAATTCTAGATATTTCAGTGAACCTTTAACAATGTATAATTAAAGATTAAATTATTAGCAAAATGGTGTCAACTTGTGTGTATTGTTACAAGCTCGTCGCATGGAAATTATAAAGAAAATTTAATGACTAGATTTTCTACAGATAAACAAAATGGAATTTAAAGGCCAATTTATATTTATTCATGTTGCCATGGCAATGGGACATAGATCAGTTTAACTATCAAAAAAACAAAGTTTGTGTTGTTAACTTACTTGCTGCCATTTTTGGTGACCAAGGGATCAAGGGTTTTAGAGAAATAGGTGAATGAAACACAGGTATCAAAAACTGCATTCAGCCACCTTAAGTACAGGACTAAACTTTTCTGCTTCACAGAGGTATTCCTGATCAGACCTGACCAATTTGTTATTTTTTTTTTTCTAGGCTAAGCGTGCTGCACATACCAAGACAAGGGAAGCTGAAAATATGTTTGAGCAGGTTGAAGAAGCTCGAAATGGAAAAAGTGGTAAAGTCATGTCAGAAAAAGAAATTTCAAAGGTATCAGTTGTCACTGAAATATATGTTGACCTCTGAAGCCCTGGTACAACAAGTTAAATTAATAACCTAAAAAATGTTGCAATTTAAAATTGTTAAAGATCATTACCTCCCCCCCCCCCCAAAAAAAAAAAAAGATTATGGCCTCAATCATTCATAGTAACTTTTATCAAAAAAAAAAACATTAATAAAAAACATTTTTTATCAAGCTCTTTTTGTCTTAGTTGAAACATGGCCTTAGTTCAGCTATGCAGAGCCTAAAGCAAACAACTCTTGCTATATGCCATTCATTGTTATTATGAACTTTCTGTAATCTACTCAATGGATGTCCTCTAACATTATTTGATATGAAAACTAACTGTCAAGTCATTTTATTAACACACTTTTAGTGATGGTTCACTCTACAATGAGGGTTTTAATCATTGATGATAACTATTACTAATGAAATAATTTGGATATATCAACAAAGTTGAAATGGTAAATTGGCCACTGTAATGATTACAGAAGCTGACGTTTCGAGTTAGCCCTTCGTCGACGAAGGGCTAACGCTTGAAACGTCAGCATCTGTAATCATTACAGTGGCCAATTTACCATTTCAACTTTGTTGATATATCCAAATTATTTTGTCACTCCCACCGACGCAGCCCCAAACAGTTTCTTTCGAAACTATCAGCCTTTATTCATTATTACTAATGAAGATTGGTATCTGTCTTGTCACTCACAGATGGATGTGAAATGTAAGAAAATGACCGACTCTTCTTTGAAAGCAGGTAAAGAGTCTCAGTTGATGTCATTTAGTTTTACCTTGGCTCTACCTGCTGCCTTACTGAAATAACAGGTGGTTACCTGAGGTATAGAAAGTCTTTTTGTGACTCCATCCCCAAGCACCTCTATTGAATACAAACCGCTATGGTTGGCAACTCCCTACAACTAAGCAATGAAACAATGACCGTCACAAAATTGCTTGAAAACCAGGAGTTTGAATTGCAGCAGCTGAGCAGGGCTATCTGCCTTCTTGTAATGGGTTGGCAACCAGCTTGTGGTCTTTTTGTCTTTAGTCCTACCTGTACTTAGTCTACCAATCCTCTTCAAATTGGTTGACTTTTAAGGAATAACAAAGTAACACAAGTCTGAATAGACTCAATGATTCAGGAAAATGCAACCATAAGAGTTATAGAGCCTTCACAATTTTGTAGGGGAGTATAGATCTTCCTAGAAAGAGGCCTTCTGGGTCCTCTAAACTACCCACCTGCTATACTAAACCAGCTTTTGTACCAAATTTGATTGAGACCCATAGTAACTCAAAGATCTAGCCATAACATAGTTTCAATGTTTGTTCACTTCTGAGATTGACTTCTTCCTGGAGGAGCCAACTAATCCAAAGGTTGCATTACTGTATTGCTCTTATTTATTACCCCCCTCTTATTTATTGTAACCCCCAAGAGTGACCAACATCTAATTTCTCCCAACAGCATCAGCCCTGAATCAAACATTAAGGTCATGAGAATAAAGAAAAATGATCACCAACTAAAGAGGCTCTTGATTGTTAAACAAATTCTCCCTGTCATCTCCTTAGGAAATGTAAAGAGAACAAAATGGAGAATATATTGAGTGTAAATGTTTAATTTGCATAAATTTGTTTTCTCAAAGATAAGGATTATCGTGATATGTATGAAAAGACTGAGAAGGCACGACTGGAGTGGGAGGCTGCTATGCTGAAGTTTTGCCAGGTAAAATATCATCAACTATTTATTTATAATTTTTTTTCTCAAATGTGTGTTACATTGATCTTCATGATGATAGGCTGTCCTTGACCACATTGACCCCTAAGAATGACAAACATCTAAATTCTCCACACAATATCTCCCCTGAAAGACTCATTAAGGTGGCTGAACACAGTCTTTGATAACTGTTTCTTTTGCCATTTTCTCTAAAACCCTTGATCCCTCGGTCGCCAAAATTGGCAGCAAGCAAGTTAATAACACAAACTTTGTTTTTTTGATAGTTAAGCAGATGTCTGTGCCATTGCCATGGTGACATGAATAAAGATAAACAGGCCTTTAAAATTGGTTTTGTTTATTTTCAGAAAATCCAGTCATTAGATTTTCTTTAGAATTTGTAGGCAACAAGCTTGTAACGATACTCGCAAGCTAACACCATTTTGCTAACAATTTAACAGAGAGAACTTTAATTATCTCTTGTTGAAGATTCAGTCGATTATCAAGAATTTCCTTTGTTAAAAATCTTTTTTTTCAGTACTCCAGTTACTTTTTTCCTAAAGTATTTTCACGCCAAATTTCGTGAAATTCTAATTAGTGGTTCTCAAGAAATAGGCATATTTGTGAGAAACTAATTTTCCGTTCAATCGCAATTTTCTTACTGACTACGCATGCACTGCATTTAACTGGGTTCTTCGGTAATGACAAAAAAGCTCAGAATTGCTGAGGTCTTTGCATTGTTAACTTTTCTAACAGGTCTGTAATAAAAGATGAAAGCTATCAATACACTGCACCAACTGTTGAGAAAGTAATAGCACAGATAGTGCGGGTATGCATTAAGTAATTAAAATGACTGCTCTATTGATGGCATGTTTTTTTTTTGCAATCCTTGTGCGTATGCTGAATTGCATCAGAAAAAGCGTGCGCGAAAACTGTGTTCAGCCACCTTAAGGTCATGAGAAGAACACAAATAACTGTAGATTAAGTTCTAGTTGAAGTTCATTTATTTGTTTGAGCAGGTTGATTAATTGACCTGCTGTCCTAACCCACCCATCCCACCCCAAGGGAGGACATCCATCACACAGTAATCTCGTGTGTGGGAAATTAACGTCTCTTGCCCCAACCCTGCAGGAGATGGGACCTCCATTTATTCGTCCCTATCCGAGAAGACTAGAATATCTAACCATTTCTTGATGTTATAGAAAGGTAGCAAATTCTTCTCAATTATTTTAAGACCTTGAGTGTTGGTCTGGCCAGGGCTCGAACCCTCGACCTCCCGCACTACAGTCCAGCGCTCTATCCATTGAGCTAACCGGGAGGCGGTTTTCAATAGTGGTGCGTTCACGTGTTGTTTCGTTAACCCACTATCAGGCACACAAGTGCCTCAAAAACAAAATGTTGAAGTGATCTTACCTCGGAATCATCCAAATCACTCGAAGACGAATCAACATCCATCGGTGCAGGACCCGTTGAGCTAAGCTTACGCACCGAACCTAGCGAACCAGCAAAACTGGCCCTCTTCTTGCGTCCGGAATCGCCGGCTACCGATAGCTTCCNCCATCCCACCCCAGGGGAGGACATCCATCACACAGTAATCTCGTGTGTGGGAAATTAACGTCTCTTGCCCCAACCCTGCAGGAGATGGGACCTCCATTTATTCGTCCCTATCCGAGAAGACTAGAATATCTAACCATTTCTTGATGTTATAGAAAGGTAGCAAATTCTTCTCAATTATTTTAAGACCTTGAGTGTTGGTCTGGCCAGGGCTCGAACCCTCGACCTCCCGCACTACAGTCCAGCGCTCTATCCATTGAGCTAACCGGGAGGCGGTTATTCTAACTTGATTGTTAAACAATTTTTCCTTGTCAGCACCTTAGGAAGTGTATAGAGAACAGTATGAAGAATAATTATGCAAGCCTTACTACTGTCAGGGAAGAAAGGGTTAATTTGCCAATCATTTTATTGTGATTTCAGACTTGTGAAAGGTTAGAAGAGGAAAGAAGAACACATTTAAGAGAGATGTGCTCATTATATAGTAACATGTTGGCTGCTGTGATACCTCAACTGCAGCAAGTAAGGAGATCATCAGATTTTTAACATTTAGTGAGTTCTTTGTTCCTGTAAAGGAATTTGCTCACAATAAATAGAGGATATTACATGCGTGGAGATATGAAAGATCTCTTCACTCACTTGTGAAATTTCTCTTCACTCACTTGTAAAATTTCTTTTTCAACACTCTAAGAGAAATTTTGTATGTCAAGGTGACCATGTAATATTCTATTTATTATATAAACACCAATGAAAGCCAAGCTGTTTCATTTTGCTGCATAAGGCACAATATATTATCTAACCATAATTATAGTAATCATTATCACGGTGATATTTTCACATGTGAAGATATCTTGTTTTTGCACAAAAACTCACCTGGTATATTTGTATAATTATAATTTGACATACATCATAATTATTTTGACCAGCAGATGATAACCTGATTTGTAAACATCAAGTAATAAATGAAGTATTTTCCTCTTTTATCTCCTCTTGAGGCAGAGCACAGTCAGTGGACTTGGTGGAACCATTAATTATTTAATTAGGAAATTTGTATCAAATATATCAGCTAGTGAGCTACTTCTTGAAAACACTAACAAACCAAAGTAAAAGCATCTTCTCCCCCATGGCGCACACTCCAAGAGATATTAATGGGCTAGGGAATCAAATAGTAACCGTTGCAGTTTCTTGCACCATCTTAAAGACTAAAAACTTACAAAAATTTTGTGTGATATGAAAGATATTAAGAATTTTTTTACCCTTGGCAGAATTATGAGACTGTCAGCTCAGAGGTGTGGAAAATCAATTCATCTGAAGATGTTGTCACAATAGCTCAAACAAGAGGAGAACCACGGGGTCCTTCCCAGCAGATCCTCTATGACTGTTATGTAAGTTTGCTGTAACAAACGTAAACCATTTGGAAGGAATCACCAAATTATTATGTCTCATGTAAAATTGTTAATTGAAAAATATATTTATAAGTTGTATATGATTTATTTTTAAATTCACCTAGGAGGAAGATTTGGAGAACACCATGAGTTATGACAGAAGGAAAGAAGGGTTAGAGACAAAGATTCAGCTGCTGTCAGAATCATTGGAGAAACAAAAAAAGACAAGAGATGGTAATATGGAACTCTAAGTTAAGATCACTATCACAATTGTTTTCATTGTTTATTTCCATCAGTAAGATGGGTGTGGACCAGCATGTTTTACAAATTACTTTTTTTAACCTCCAGCATGGATGGAGAAAATAATCATAGGCTGCTAAAGAAATGAACAATTTGAATAATTTAGTCGATGCATCCCCTAATCTTCTTACAACTTGTCTTCTGTAAACTTACAGCGATTGTTTTTTTCATTTAGGGATAACTTCTCTGTACGAGGCATACTCTGCAACTCCTGATTACTGTAATGAAGAAGGCCAACAAGATGTCGCCACACAACTGATACATGTAATGTACTATCTCATTAACTTCTTTTTTGCTTTTAAAGACTAATTGTAGCTATAAATATTTTGTTTTAACCCTTCTATAATTACATTAAATTGATTGTGTTGAACTTTGCAGGCAAATGCTTTAATAAATAGTTTTACAGCAAGCGTCAGTAAAGTGCAAGGTGCCCTGGCACAGTTGAATGGTCACAGTGCTCCAGAAGTTTGGCTAATGCCTTACATATCAAGCACTAGGGATAAACAGGTAAGTTCCTTCTCTCTCCTTTTACAGATAATTGACTACCCAAAACAGGCTTCTTATAATCACATTTGATGTCAGTATCTACATGTAGTAGTGGGTTGACTGTGGATTGAAAGGACTTGCATTGCCTTCTGGTTCAAGATGATTTTTTTTCTTGTTCTCCAGCAAGACAGTTAAGTTTGTATCTGTATATTAACACAAGGACATATTACTTTGAGTTTGTCAGTTTTGTTCCACAGGCAGTTTGGTGATATGTTCACCCTTTTACCTCACTCCCACAACCCTTACCCCTCAAAGAAAAGTAAATCTGTCATATTTTAAAATTCAGTGCAAAGTTATGTTTTTACTGATGAATAAAACTGCTGTTTTCAAGACATTACTGTGTCTATGAGATTTTTATAAAATGAGTGGGCTTTACAAAGAGACCAGTTACTAACCCTGGAATTTCCTCAAGGATTATTTGTCAAAATTACAAACAAATAAAAAGTTTGCTTCCCAAACAATTGAGCTGTGAAAGGAAGAAGTGGCTTGTGAACTTGACCCTGGCACCAAAAAAGTGGATCGCAAGCAGCCTGACTTCTATTTCATGCTGCATTTAATTGCACCCATCATACTGTGTATAACCTCTCTTTGAATGAGTAAGGAAACTTCAAAAAATTAGGCTTACTCTGTAACTCAATTTGTGATTTCTAAATAATTTGAATATATCAACAAAGTTGAAATGGTAAATTGACCACCATTATGATTATAAAAGCTGACGTTTCGAGCGTTAACCCTTCGTCAGAGCGAATAGAGGAATTGTGGGTTGTGTGTGCTTTTAAAGGCAGAAAATGGAGCTACGTTATTGGTGGGAACATGGCAACGAGAAAAACAAATTATTTTGTTACCCCCACCGATGCAGCCCCAAACAGTTTCTTCAGAAACTATCAGCCTTTATTCATTTGTATTGTGATTTCTAATACAGGGTTTACTACAGAGTTCACTTCATATTCCACTTGATCAAGCAACAAGATCAGAGTCTGTCACACAGGATGATGGAGACAATAGAAGTAAGAAATCAATCCTAAGCAGAACTGTAATGATCTACTAGATACCTAACTCAGGAGTACAGTCTTTGGCTTAACCTTTTCCCTCTAACATTAGTAAGCATATTCTCCATACTGTTCACCATACATTTCCCAAAGTGCTGACAAGGATAATTTGTTTGACAATCAAGAACTTCAGTCTGTAGTTGGTAATCATTTCCTCTATTCTCATGGGTGATTTAGGGGTGATATTGTAAAGGTAAATTAGATGCTTGTCACTCTTAACTCAAAAGGTTAAATGACATTTGCAAGGTACAGAAACTTTTACCAAAAGGATCAATCTAACTCTTAGAATTACTTTTTTAGAGTACAATGCGATTAAGACAGTCAATCATCCCATGGGTCCTTTGCCTTTTGATAAAAAAAATACAGTAATACTGGTACCTAGCTAGTTTGAGTTTAAATGACTTTATAAAACTATGGAATCAAGGGGAACAAGTTAGAGTTAAAGTTATTCAGACATCTGTCTTTTGACTATTTCAGGTGATGACGAGTTTGATGACATTCCAGAATCAACTGGTGAGTTTTAGTTTAAGTTCATTAAGTTTTCTTCTTAGCTTTAGCAAAAAACTGAGAACTGCTCTTGACCCTGTGAAGACCACCGGTGTGTAACTCAGAAGTTGAGTTTTATGGATGTAGAACAAGTTACAGGGTTGGCTGATGGTTGGCACACTAGATTCATGTTTAAAAACTTTGGCTGGGATCATGTGTCTTTGTGTTCTTGGAAATAGATAATATTGTGGTTGAGTCAGGAGGAGTCTGGAGATGTGCATGTTTTTTTTTCTTGTGGAAAGTCAAAAGATTTTGACTGGCATTGCTGTCAAGATGAATAACTGAATTTCTTTCTATTTGTTTTTAATCAGGAATATGCAGGTGCCGTGCACTGTATGAATACAAGGCAACTCAAAGTGATGAACTTGATATATTACCTGGAGATATTATCACACTAACAGTTAAAATGGAAGATGGATGGTGGCAAGGAGAACTTCATAATAAAACCGGCATATTTCCTGCTAGTTACGTGGAGGAGATTGGATGACCAGACATTTTATACTAAGGGACAACTTATAGCAAATTTCTGGTTTTTGCTGGTTAAAAATGATTTGTCTTTTTGAGATATGGAGCTTTAGGTGAATGTCCCAACTGCTGTTTACCAGTGCCAGGGTTTAGGTCCAGAGATCAATGTTATTTAGTGCAGCACCAGGGGTGTCTTTTATTGTTTTTATGGCAGATTTTATACCATTCACATTCAAATATTTGCAGGTTCAAAACTGGAGACAACATATGTTAGTGATGGTCTAAGCCCAGTGAGAAACAAGAAAATTAAATAAATAAAGGCACGGCTTTGTTCATACTTAAAACTGTTGAAAGTAGCTCTTGGAGAAAAAAAAACCTTTCTACGCGATGAATGCCTATTAAAAAGCTTAAGTTATGTTTTATGATTTAAAGTTCTAGAGGCCTCACCAATAGTTTGATGATTCATCATCCAATTTTAAGAATGGAGGCATTCTTGTGGGATGATAATTTATTGCTGATAGCAATTTATTAATCCAGTTAAATGCTTAATTAATATATGCTTATTAAGGACTGGTGTCTACAATTCCTGAAGTATAAAAAAGCTTTATTGTAATAAACCTTTTGTTGAATTTTAATTTTTAACCTGATAAGAAATATATTATGTTGTCCAATCATGTGGTTGAAAGATTTCATGTACAGGGAAACATTGATTAAATTAAAATCATGATTGAGTTGTTATGAACCATAACCAAACTCAATAACTTCTTCTTTGAACATTGAGGAAATAAACATCAAAGTTAATTTGTTTCTAATAGCGATTCCCAAAGACTGGTTAATCCCCTGTGGCTCTTATTTTACTCAACATGTGCGAAACAATGATCAAGGAGAAAGAAAGGTCAGTGCAGATCTGAGAATACACTACAAAACACCACTACCAGCAAATGAGAGAACTGCCAAGAGATATTTTTTTCCTATTATTTAATCTTAGAAGTCAACAACATTTTTAAAACCATTAATTTTAGATGCAAAATTTAAGGTTTTTCTTTGTCCCTACAATTTCCTTTGTTTGCTTTTGCCAGACCTGAAATGTGACAACAACACATGGTAACAGACACAGCTAAATCCTTGGAACTGGATTCCATTGTAAACCTTCTTCCAACATTTCTCCTATTATGAATTCTCAAATTCAAGAAAGTCTTTGTATTTAGAACAAAGTATAAAGAATATTTTTATGGAAAGGAAAAACTCTTTACTAGTGATTTTTCGGTCTCCTACAGACTTGACCTCTATTTCAAACATCTTTTTCAAGTCAGGAAATCTAATATGCAAATTTCCAATGAGAATTCCTGAGCTGGTCATTGAATCATGTGACATTGTTTCACTCTGTGTATTAATTAAACAGTCATGTACTAAAAAGCTTGTCTTCCATTGTACACTCTTAGGGCAAAATCCTACAGTGTAATGTTTATTTACATATCTTCTTTTGAGTACTGATTGTATCCATCTAATTTTCTTTTTCTACCAAATCTTTGAACTTTCCCCTCATGGCAACAACAAATGCAGAGAAGTTATTTGTACTGTTCAGCTTTTCCACCATCTCACTTAGTCCTTTAACCTCTGGTATGCAATCCTTCACTGTGTACAAGAATTGGGAGAATAAGTTTCATCATAAACAAAACAGCCACTTTCATTCGTTACAGTGGATCTTAACGAGTCAGCCTTCAACATTTTCCTGTATTTAACTAATACATAGATTGGCTATTTTGAATCTGTCTTTCAATTGGCATTTTCGACTGACTTTTCTAGTCTTTATTAAAAACAATTCTCATTGATGATGAAATGTGTTGAGGAGAAGTTGAAGGTGGTAAGCACTCATTGTAAGGAAGGGATTATTGGACAATTGTAACAGCACAAACGTTTTAGTGATTAGAAGTATTACCTTTGTACTTGTCCTGGCTAGTGATGGCCACAGTGAAAACAAAGGGCTTATCCTCATCTTTTGGGTCTATGTACTTGAACACAAACTGTAAATGTTCCTCTGTGAAATGGAAGAAGTTCAGATCACTGTTACTAAGTACGCTGATACATTCAAATTTTTTTTTTATGCAACCCCTCCACTTTCTTATGGCCAGATTCTGATACCCAAATATTTTGCTGAGTGCATTCAAGGTTTCAAAATTTTGCTGACCTCTTTCAAAACACATGGTAAGGTGGGGTTTTACCTGAATTTAGGTAAAACCCCTGCCTTAATCTATATCTGTTTATCTTTATTTCCTTATATTTTTGTTGGCTGAGGGGAGGGGGGGGTGGAGGGGGTTGTTTAAAAGCATGGAATTTCCCAATGAAACAATTAACCCAGTGCCAGCTGGTTACCACACACCCATCCAATTTCCTCATCCAATTAACATTTTTTCAAATGCTTTAAATAACCTACCATCCACCTTCTTGAAGGATAACCCCAGTCTTTCTTTGAAGTACTCGGTCCCTTTGGTAAACTGTTTAATCTTGTACGAGGTGCTCTGCTCCTTAGCAGATATTTCTGTAAGAGTTTATTTGAACCGCTGGTTATTATACCTGCATTCATCTAACACCAGCTTAGCAGTGCTCAGTCTGACTTGATCTTGCTTAAAAAAAAGCGTGAAGTTAATTTGTAGATGTGTTGAAAACTAAGCAAATCGGGTAATCGTTACTAGGGCAACCAACGCTCGCCAGATTGCCTGAGTTGCTTAAGATTTCTCAAAGAAAACAAGAAAAACACAAAAGTAAACATAATCCTTGAGAGATTTTATGACAAAGTGTGTCTCTCAAACCAATTCCCACGACATAAAAACATTTTTCTATCACTTCATTAATACTTGCCTTCCTCTTGCAAAACCCGCTAACAACTTACGGTGGGTAACTGGTGAATTCGCCCCACTGCAAGTTGACCCTCAATCACCTTTACGAGTTCCCTTCCCTCCTTAAGGAATTTGCAATAGTAGTTGGGGGGGAGGGGAACTTTCAATGGGGCGACTTTGTCACAAACCCAGTGTGCGTTCAGTGTACCTTCTTGACGTTTGCGAAGTTGACTCTCGGTTTCTTCGAAATGTTTTTGGTTTTGATTCCTTTGTTCTACCAAACGTTCCGCTGAAATCTGTAATTCTCGGAGCTCTCGTTCCAGTTTGGCAACTTCTTCAGCCCTCTGCCGTAGGACTACAAAGATGCAGGAAACCTTTGATTTACATCTGCTTTGATCATTTTCACCGTTTAGATATAAGGTCGGAATTAACACGAAAACTTCATCACCTTGTTTCTTACCTTCTAAATTCTTTTCACTCTGAAAATGATATTGATTGATTGTCTCTTCCAGATGCCTCATCTCTTCTGAAAGTCGGCGATTAAAAGAAAATTCGATAACTTTGCACTGCTGTTTCATCACTATCTTCGTTATAAACAAACACGTACAAATTACCTTTCCCCTTTGTTAGAATGTTTTCATGATCCTCTTTGTCTTCTAAACGAGCTTTTCGAAACGTTTCCCCAGTCCAGTCGTTAAGGAATTTATCTTGAACTTTCTTCAAGTTTACAGCCAAATTTTCCAATTCTTCTTTCGTAACAGATCCCATCTTAATTCGAAGTGAAACTCAGGGATTCTTTCTTCCTACAAATGGGAAAGTTCGCGGTGAAATTTCAATTTTTACTTTCAACCAATGAAATTTCCTAATTAAATCACGTGCTTCTTAACTCCGCTGACTAAGTCACGTTCATTACAGGCACACTGTAATCCTACTGTCTGTCGTTCTTAAAGCTGGGGAGAAGGTCCAGAAGATGCGGAAATAGGAGTTAATAAAAGCTTGTAGTAGCTATTTTTCAATCAAAACAGTTATAGATGGCCTTACATCTTGCATAATGACACAGCTAACTAAGTATTTTTGACGAACTTTTCACCATGAGCACGGCAAACTGGCAGGTCTTGTGGTCTCCAAACCAACACGACAAGTTCATCACCTTCGGAAGTGAAATATGTCTTTACAAAGTCACCAGGTCTCAGGTAAGGTGATTTATTTAGAATTTTGCATAATTACACGATGGAAAGGTGAGTTTTTAGAATAAAAGCAAGTTGTTATTTAAACTCCTGATGATGTGCTTAAACAAGTCCTACAGAAAACTTAAGGGGGTGGTACTTGGTGGGATGGACTTTGATTTTGCGATGATCAACTTCCATCTTCTCTCCACTAGACTCCCTTCAATGTTGAGGAACTCATTGGAAAGAAAGAAAACATAACCATTTTCCACAAGAATTCACAGTTTTGAAAAACAAAAGAAAAATTTTATAATAAAGGGCTATCATTGAAGCAGTAAACTGTATATGGCTCTCTTTTATGAAGGTGACACAAGAATCACAGTGTCAGGAACAAGATTGTGTTAAACTATTTTTCCCAACATGCTGTGAAGTTTCTTGCATATCTAATTTCTCAAAAAACATGCAGAAGTCTCTACAGTCATATCCATAGAATTTCAAAACAATAAGAATTGGCAGCAGTATGTTGAACCATTTTGTTTCTTAACTGACTGGTTTCAGGAAAGTCCTCCAAAGGCTGCTGGTGCAAGAAGCCAAGGTATATATTTTGTCTTAGTTCCTTGCCACATATGCATTGTACTTCAATATTGCCCTTGCTTCAAGCCTTTAGCAATGCGCATTTGCATATTTAAACTAATTGATATATTTTCCTCATTGTGGTTTCAGTCATTCCTCTTTCTGGAGATACCTATGCATCACTTTTATCTGTCATGAATGATATACAAAATTTAAAGGTAACCAGTCCAATAAGAGTTAAAAACACAGATTCGTTTAAAATAACTCAGAAGAAAGTGCTGCCTTTGTAATAATAATGCAAATGGTTAGACTTTCTAGTCTTCTCGGATAGGGACGATAAATGGAGGTCCCGTCTCACAAGCCCTTGTATGTGAAAAAAAACATTTGTGGGACGTTAAAGAACCCACACACTGTTCGAAAAGAGAAGGGCACGTAGTGCCCGGTGTTGTGCTCTATCTTTGTGTAGTGTCTATCAAATTGATGGGGGGTACTCAGCCTTTGAATATTGTATAGAAAGGGCACAATATAAATAAGGAATTCATTCATTCATTCAATCAAAAATTGTATGGCAGGCAGTTAGGAGAATTACTCATTAGAACCTGGATTTCATAATTCTTTTACTGATGAAAACTCTAAATCAAAGACATCTCGGGTTTCTACAATGATCAACAATCTTAAAGATATATGAAAACTCCAGGCCTATTTTTCCTGTTAGAGACCTGGGCTATATTCTTTAGCTCCCAACAATTCCTTTACTTAATAATTTAGATATATCAACAAAGTTGAAATGGTAAATTGGCCACCGTAATGATTACAAAAGCTGACATTTCGAGCGTTAGCCCTTCGTCGGAACGAATAGGGGAATTGTGGGTTGTGTGTGCTTTTAAAGGCAGAAAATGGAGCTACGTTATTGGTGGGAACATGGCAACGAGAAAAACAGGAATAAATTAATGGAATGAAAAGCGTTCGTTAATCCCTGTGGGATTTAGACTGCTGGTTTGAAAGATGAGCTTTTGTTCAAGAGGACTCCAGTTCTTCCCAAGTCATAAATGAAATGACATCTTCAATACCCCGAGATGAACATCTGACAATCTCTAGATGTACCGGCATAATCTGGGATGATTGGGAAACAAATAAATTAAGAATTGTCTGGGATTTTCCCACTTATCAACAACCTCAGAGGAAATCATGGTAGGATTAGACTCTGATGATCACTTCTGTTATGATTGTTGAAATGTTAGTCACTGTAATACCTACTTCTCAATACTGTTGTCATCTGTATAATTAAAATATGCCATCAAATGTTAATCTATTTACAAGGCTGTGCGCTCAGAAAAATTGAAGGGAGCCCAGTGCTCTGAAACTGTGAAATCCAGGGTGCCCAGCATATGTTTTTTATTAAAAATTAAGATTCCTGAGTTGTTCAAGAGCAAAAGTAAGGTGCCAAGGGCCACTGCGCACTGTTAGACCACAGCCCTGATTTATAGCAAGCTCTGACAAGGTTGCTGTTTGCTGTGTTGTCATAGTGTGTTGCTTGGTGTCCAAAATCAGAACGAGAAAACTTGTTAGCTGTTGGACAAGCAAATGGAAGAGTTTTAGTCACGTGGTAAGAATTAAGAAAACATATTACTATAAATGGGGAAAAAGCAGATAATCAGAACTCAACATTACCTTAAATTTTTCAACTTACTAGCCAAGTGGCTGGTGACAACTTATATGTTATAACATTTTCAGTTTGTCCATTAGCCGAACTGGCTAGTGGAAATTGAAAACCACCAGCCATAACTGAATTTCTACTAGTCTGTGGCTAGTTGGATACCATTAGCATCAAGCCCTGATAAAGCACAACCAAAAGAGATTCATATAGTAGCAGACTGTAAAGAGAACACATCCTCAAAATGTATCAATCAAAGCTGTTGAAAACCAACCAAAGCAGGGCATCGTGCCTCTTAATTAAGGTGAGGCATAACTAGTGGGCCTCATTCCTGAGGTTGTTGCTAAGTGCTGACTGCGATCAAAGATAACTGGATAATGAATTGACAATTGCTTACTAGTGATTGCTGGGTAAAGAGCAAAAAGCACTACTGAGGTTATGTACAATGTTTAATATTAAAAGCTATCTTTGAACTGCCTCACTTAAAATTTTAGCCATCAGCCTTATTTCTCAGCTATAACCCTGCACTCCTTGAAGAATTCTGTCTATAGCAATAATTAAAATGTGGTTGTCATACTTTGTTCAAGATGGAAAAATAAAAGCATCCAACTTTCTGAAAATTTGATTTACAACAAACGTTTTAAAAATATGGCTGGGTGATATTTTCCGAACTATATTGTTTACAACAAGGTAAACATTCGTCATTTTTTAATGAAAATGGTGAGAAGTAAACAATTTTGTTGATTAGTCATTATAAGTGTGTTTTCTTTCAGCATTGGAAGGGAAAATAATCAGTCAAACCAAGGAATCTCTAGAGAATTTGGTAAGAATCAGTAGATTTAAAGTCTGCATATGGGGTTTATGAATATAATGAATATGTTAAGTGACTTACGTGTAAAAGTGTCATGATAAGTGGTACTGGTAGTTGGATATTTTGTAGAATCACATCATTGAGTAAAATCGCATATTCTGATTGGTTAATGAAGCAAGGTACTTAGCATGGAATTGCGAGTTGAAAACAAGGCTAAGGGATATTGTTTCACATCCACATATACATAACTATTAATAAGTAATGTTCTCTTTTTTTTCTTATTTTTATTCAATTATGCAATTCAAGGAAAATTCATGACTTGACTTGTGAATTCCGTATCAAATTGCACTTGAAAACGAATATCACACTCATCACTTCACGATTCATGCAATATCGGTTTTCGCATGCAATTTAATACGGAATTCCCTCATCAAGTAATGAAATTTCCCATAGAATTGTAAAAGGATTTCAGTACCTTTCATTATATAAAATTGATTATTTATTATTTTAACTTCCAAGTCCCCAGGCATTCACGGCAATGTAACAGACTTGCATGGAATCCTGTTGAAAATAAATTGGTATGTTCATTATGTTATTGTCAAGGATGTAATGGATTGGTCTTGGTATAACTTTGTAGCTTCAAAAGATACTGGGCACTTAAATTTCCAATGAAGGGAGGGGGACATTTTGGAAGGAGGGCACTCAATCAAAAGGGGTACTTGTTATTTAAATGCAGGAATGGGACAAAAATTGAAAGAACAAAAGATAAAAGTAATTGGAAGTGACTTAATGCTATAGTTGAAGCTTGAAAAGTTGTAAGGAAAATGGCAGTAGTAGAAACAATTTTTCCTTGTATCCCTAGTATTTAAGGGAGTGAAGGAGGAAGAGGGGGTGCTTACTCAAGAGGGGGGCTTGGTTGACTTTATGTCCAAGGGGTACCTGTGCCGTAATTTACGGCTGTTTACCCACAGGTAATCTGTTGATTTTGCCCAAAACTCATGCCACTGTGGGTAATAGGGAGGTGCGGGTTATGTGACAATTTTGGAATCTACTGGAAGTTGAATTGAAAAAAATTTCACCTACCTGTGTTNTTATAACATAACCAAAGTAAAGCGCGCGCTCTGATTGGTCAATTTAGCGTCCCCCATTTGCCCATGGGTGTACGCTGCTGACGTGAGCAAATGCAAAGACTATTTTTCCGCGCGCGCTTGTTTTTTCTGGTCACGTAAGATTTGTTAAATAAAAGGGAACTCTTTAGCTACAATGTATCAATGTTATGTCAATGTTATTGTCAATGTTATGTCAATGTTATTGCTACAATGTATCAATGTTATGACAATGTTATTGTCTCAAGAAGCTAGAGTCGCTCTTGGCTATCGCCTCGCGCGACTCTTATGCTTCTTTCGTGCTTAGCAACCTCCCGCGTACATCCATAACTCAATAGTGTACGCTGTGGTGTTTACTATTTGTTAAGTGGGTGATAGGGAGGTGTGGGGTATGTGACAATTTCGGAATCTACTGGAAGTTGAATTGAAAAAAATTTCACCTACCTGTGTTTCCACCTCCCAAATGAATTTTTTTGTATTAAGAGTGCCACAAAGCAGCACGAAAACATGATGCTGACTCAAGTTTATTTCACACATGATTAGTTGTGCGATGAACAACTTTTTATCGGCACCCAAGTAAACAAAACCTTGATGGTGACAAAAATAATCTAAGGGTATCTTAGCGTATCAGTAACAAATTTCCAGTTAACACTAGCTTGAGGTGAAGAGAATTTCCCCATTTTAAGGGACTTTTTAAGCCCAGTAGAACCAGAGATATCAATTCTTTTGAGAAATAGACAATTCAACATGGTGTTGAATGATCGCTCGCACAAACTGTGGCCACAAATTCGCATTTTGTCAAGTATAAAACGTTGTGAGCCTTTTTGTACAAATTTTCTTTGCTTTTAAGTTGTGGGTCATCCACAAGTGTGGGTAATGTGTTAATAATCTGTTAATAATCTGCAAAAATCGGTGGGTGTGGGTAATCGGCTGGAAATTACAGTAGGTGGTTATTGGAGGGAGGGTACCTATTCAGGAATTAAAGCATAATCATAAGATTTAGAGTGAAGGGAGATACTTCCTCTACTCCAAGCTAAAAACACACCTGAGCTTAGCAAGCATAAGCAGCAAAAGAAAAAACTGCACTGCAGATGCTAAGAATGTGTTTGCCAGACACATTTTCTTTTTCTCAGATAATTGCATTCATTACTTATATGCAATCCCTCTAAGATTCAGGAAAGTTGTTTTTTCTGGCCTCTGTGATCAATATAGTTTGTTTGAAGTAGTTTAAATTTGTACATTTTTTTCATATTCAGCTGGCAGTTGGGCTAGACAAAGCAAGAAATGATCCTTCTCTCCTGGTTTGGGACGTCAGTGTTCAGCCGAGTAAGTCAACTTGCCATTTTGACACTTATTCATTTTAATTATTGTAAAAAAAACTTGAATTGTATGTACGAGTAACAGTTTAACCCCATGACTCTGTAATTCCAGTTTTTCAACCAAATACGATTGTAAAGTCACTCTGAAAACTACAGATTAAAGCATTATGTAATTTGAACATGTCCAACAATCATCGTCAGGAAAATGATTGGCTTTTCAAATTTCAAAACTAACTTTGAGAATGAGAGAAAGCGTTTGGGTTAGAGAGAGAATTTTCTCTATTTGGATCTGCAGTATTGCACCAGTGTGTGAGTTTAACATTGTATCCTGTGAATGTTACTTAATTTGACTTATTTCATTTTTATATATTACGCTATAAATTATTATCATTGATATGTGTTTGTTCCAGGTGTAAGGGATAGTGGGATCCAAGAAAAGAGGTTAGTTCACAGGAGTATTGATGCTGCTCTGAGTTCACTACTTAAAAAACCTCATTCAGGCTACCTACCTGTATAGGAGAGTGATTGTATTGAAAAGTGCCTGGTGTGTAACATTCTAGAAATGTTCTTTTTCCTTCATCTAATTATAGACACTCTGGAGTGACTGGTGGCAAACAATCTCCCATTACAGTAGGGACACATTTTCAAGACCCTTCACATATGCAGAATAGGGCTCTTGTTGAACTGTGTAAGCTTCTTTTAATTACTTAAATTTATGATGATTACATTACAAATAGTCACCATGATTAATTTTTGCTATAGTGATCAGAGCTCGACACTAACCATAACCCACTAGCCACAGACTAGAAGAAATTCAGTTTTGACTTGTGATTTTCAATTTCAACTAGCCAGTTTGGCTAGTAAACAGACTGAAATTGTCATAACATCTAAAAACATCTAAGATGTCACTAGCCACTTGGCTATTAAGTTGAAAAGTTAGTGTCGGACCCTGGTGATAGTGACTGTGCATTAGATTTTGACATATCCTACATTTTTCTATGGTTATTTGTGGCTTTATCCATTAAATTCTTCAGGGAATAATAATTGGAATGCCAAAATGTTAACTAAAGGTGATTCCTCAGAAAAAAAAAGTTAAGAATCAATTTTTTATAACTTTCCTGAAATGTTCCATGCCATGTCTGTTTTGAAAAATACAACAAAAAGGATACGTCACCTTGCTTGTCTAGGAGATAAGCCAATGCAGGAGTGTAAAACTTCAAAATTTCTCAGAAGAGTGTGCCTCGTAGAGAACCATTTATACTATATTTTATTAAACCACTGTTTGGGGATTCTCAAGCATCCCTTGCTAACTATACAAGACAGTGTTCTCCTTCATTTTAACCATGATAGCTAAAAGAAGAGAGCAATCCTTTAACCAGTTGATTTCTCAAAAATTCCAAGTGATTTGGTAACAATTAAGTGGTAATAGTGGTGGAGACAGAAACATCCACCCATCCTTTTTGAAATAATTGAACTTCTCACCATTAATTTTGTAGACCTTACACTTGCTTTGTTTTCATTTAAATTGCTGCAGCCACTTCAGAAACAACTGTGTCATTAGCTTGGTGTCCCTATGATCCTAATGTGTTGATCACTGGGCAAGGACAGAAATTCATCAGAGTGTTTGACATTCGCGGTGAGTTGAGTGTTTCTTCTGTGAAGAGGAACAGAGTTAATTGTTGGAAACTGAAACATGCGTCTGTAAAATAAGATGATGTTGAAATAAATGCCATCCTTGAATAAGCACCACATGAGAAGCACTAGACTAAGTGTAAAAATTTGCTTTTAGTAGTTAAATGCCAAAGCATTTTATGTGAACCTCAGTAGCCATGTAAGCACGCAAATGCATATACATAATCAGGGCTCAACGCTGATGGTACCCACTAGCCACAGACTAGTAGAAATTCAGTTTTGGCAAGTAGTTTTCGATTTCCACTGGCTAGTTTAGCTTGTAAACAAACTGAATTTGTCGTTACATCTAAGATGTCACTAGCCACTTGGCTGGTAAGTTGAGAAGTTAGTGTTGAGCCCTGATAATTGTGAAATTGACACTGTATTGTAAGGATTGATAAGCTAAATTATTCACACATTTGTGCTGGTTCGTAGGGGCCAACCATTTAACTTTTGAGGGGGGGGTGGGTGATCTCTGGTCATCAAGAAATTTTTTTTCTAGCAGTCTGCTGGGCAGGATATTTTTTTCTTTTGGTTTGTTACATTTTTTCTGTTACATTTGGGCTGCATGCAATTTTTTTCTTCCAACAAGTGCTTGC